CCTAATTCAATAATTTTGTCAAAAAGCCAGTTCTAAATAAAACAGTGAATTGAATCCTCTGCTATCGAAAACTCAGCCTTGCATTGATACAAACACAATATTCTGCATTATTCTAAAAAACCACCATAAAGTTTGGTAACTCGCCTAATTAAAAAAAAAATATATTTCTTGGTATTTTGTAATTAATTTTTTAAATTTTTACTTCCCGAGCGTGAGCTTGGGAATCGACGAATTGCTACTTTCATATTTTTTTGACATTCCCATCTGTCTGTATGTCTGTCTACCTGTTCGTCCATCAATCCGTCGCGTTTTTTTTTATTCGAAAAGTTGAAAACCTAAAAAATCGGAAAAAAAATGAAAAGTGAAAAAACTGAAAAAAAACAAAAATTGTAAAATCGAAACAGTGTAAAATTGAAAATCTGCAACTCTACAAAGTAAAGAAAAAAAAAATTGAAACATTGAAAAATCAAAATCGGCAAAACATCGAACAAAATTAATGAATCGAAAAATTGGGAAGAAAGAAAAACGAATCGAATCAAAAAATTGAAAAACCCAAAAATTGTAAATTTGGAAAATTATAGAATCGTCAAAATTCTAAAGTGGAAAAGCTTAACATTGGAACATCGAAAAAGTGGAAAATTAAATACCGAGAGATTGAAAATTAGAATAAATTAAAAAGTTTTAAAATAGAATAATTGAAAATGGAAAAATTCTAAAATCGTAAAATTGAAAAACTGTTAAAGTAAAATTTTAGAAATTATAATCATTATTGCACATTTAAAATGAAAACTAGAAAAACTGTAAATCAAAAATTGAAAAAACAAAAACTGAAAGTTCGAGAAACCAAAAAATCTAAAATTGGAAAAACGAAAAGTTGAAAAATTTAAAACTTGAAAAATCGTCAAAAAATTGAATACCGAAAAATTGCAAATCGAAAAATTGAAGCATCCAAAGTTGGAAAATAGTAAAAACTGAAAAACTTTAAAATGAAAACTCGAAGAGTTGCATATCGTAAAATTAAGAGAAGTCGCTACGTTTGGCTCTTATAGTGTTGTCAATATATCTTCAGAATGTAATATCTCCATTATTAATCAATGGCTATGAAATTTTAAATCTAACTTTTTCACAACTTTTACTACATAACTGCGAGGGCAATTTTTTAAACAATTTATTATCACATATTTGTTAAATTTTGTTGAAATTTTTGCTTCACGTACATAGATTGAATAATCAATATTTGAATTATTTATGGAAATTTTGGAACGGGGTTGTCACCACTGTTTTCAGCGCTTGCAAAACTTCAGAAATCGTACTACGTTTATTTTTTTACTACTTAAGTAATAAACTTAAATTGTGACATTTACTATAGTAGTCGTTTGATTTTTTAAGAAAAATTACAGAAGTTTCGCTTATAATGTACGGATGGAGTTTTGAATTCTGCAAAAGCGGCTGTTGAGAGGCAAGCAGTAATATTAGAAAATAAATACATTAAATTTAACTTAATAGAAACACACAAACATAGAAAATAATAGTTATTTGTGTATCAAGGCCATAAAGAAGAACTTTTTCGGCCGTTCTGAAGTTTGACAAATCAGATGAGACCGAAAATTCAAAAAACGGCGATTTTTAAACAGAAGTCCAAAAGTAAGTTCCCGACATCAGAGTATAAAGAAGTGACAAGTGAGTCCAAACAAATAATTTTGACATTTAAGTATAAAAAAATGAAACTTCATGGACGTGATTGAGGACGTAAACAGACTAGATTTATAATAGTCGTCTAATAAATAAATTATAAAATAAAAAGAAGACGATCTCATGGATACCTACAAGTCAGTTATATCCTACAGTAACCTCAAAATCAATTTTGTGAAGTTGATTTAAAGCTATAATCACTATTACTTACTCTGTCTGATTATTAATATTATTCATTACAAATGTAAGCCTAATAAATATAATAAAACCAAGCCTCAGTACTGTGTCCAAGAGCGAATAATTCAAAGTGGAATATAATTAAATTCGAAATATTTGCCACGACTTTCACGCTCTCTCACTGAAAAATATTATTAACTTTGAAAACGGCAAATAAAAGTTGTCCAAATATTTCTAAAATTCAACCGTGAACCATAACTGTAATCCATTTTATTAAATTATACAACGAAACAACAGCACAAATATAAAACCTTCATCAGTCCTGTATTTATTATTTATAGTTACACGCTTTATATATTAATAACACTTTAAAAAATTAACCAGTTCATTTTTAACTACATATTGTTATAAGCTTAAAAAACAGCCCACTTTTATTTTATTTGTGTAGAATCGCACTAACAACAATTAGAAAAGCCAAATGTCGCTTCTTAACCGAATGAACGCCTCTCCAACGACTTAATCAAATTACAAACAGACGCTCTTACAGTGAAGTAAATAGTGAGTGTCTTAAACTGGACGCTTCCGTTGAATACTAAAAATAGATCAGGTTTAAGGTCAAGCCGGCAGTAAAATACAGATTACATAAACAACCAAGATTTGATAATTGTATCGCAAATTAGTGAATAAACGTATTTTCAGATCTCATGTGATGTTCTTGATTGACATCCACAGAATTTGTGTGCGTACGGTCCTGACCCGGCGCCTCCACCATATCACCAGTAAACAGTGGCTCGTCTTTGATGTTCGGGAACTTTGAGACGTGAAACTTGGAACTTGTTTTTCACAACAGATTTGTATGTAGAGGAATTTCAAAAGAGGGTGATAAGAATGCGAGGGTTGTCTCAGATGGTGGAATATTTGTACGTCGATGTGGGTAATGCGGTTTAATGTAAAATCACCATCGTTGTCATTGTATTGGGGGAGTACTGCACATTAATGGCATTCAGTAATTGTTACAATGCAGTAAGTATTATCGATCTGTCATTAGTATACAAGGTTATCGAAGCAACGATAGTAGATGTTAATTCAATTCTGTACAGTTACTTGTCAACTAGTACGCGGAATGGAGACTGAAGTTCAAAGAGGCGCTAGCCGGGTTAAAAACAGCAGCAATTAAATAATTTACTTAATTTATTCAATGTAATGACAACTGATTTTTTTAAATGTAAACACATTTTGAATAAATCTAAATAAAACATAAATGTTACAACTTAACAAATTGCTTCGTTTGTGAATGAAACAAGTCACGTGAATAAATATGTCATTAATATAATTAATACGAGACTAACCACAAACTTGACATGAACATGAACATGATTTCAAAACATTGTTCGTGTGAAACGTTTAACCTGTCGCAGCATTTCTGTTAATGTAATTACTGAAATTATTATAAACTTATTCTATATTTTGTGGATAAACTGAAAAATAATCAGTTCATAACCGTTCTGTTTTAAGAAAAATAGTCGCATTTAATTGTGAAATCCAAATTTGATATGTCAAGCTTTTTATTTTCCTCTACATAGTGAAAAAAATGTTACGTCAAATTTGTAAAAGTTAAGCCGTCATTAATGACTATTTTAAATGAGACGCTATAATTGTCGTTGCATTATTTGATAAAGCTTATTTTTCTGCATGTAAAAATATAGTTAGATGTAGGGCTTGCGTAACAAAAAAATTGAGAAAATTAATAACAAACAAAATAAACTTGATTTTAATGATAAATATTAAATAAACAGAACAATACGTTGGAGTAAAATTTTATGTTTACAAATTGTTCAAACTATTCCCCATTCACCATCTGACACAAACCCAGACGATGGTAGAGCTGATTGACGGAATTTTAAATACTCTGTGGACTTATACCAGTCATTTCATGACGAATTAATGCTTTCAAGTCCTCTACTTTATTGGGTCTCTTTAGTAAACACGACTTTTTAAATGTCTTCATAAAACAAAATCAAGGGGTGTCAAATCCGGAGACCTTTGGGCCGCGCTCCAATCCACCTTCCATAAAATTAATTATGCAAAATTACGCCATAATGTGGTGGTGCCCCATCCTGTTGGAAACAAATCTAATCATGTTTATTTGTTATTAGTTTTCTCCATTTTTTTTGTTGTGTAACCTCTACATTTTCATACGTAGAAAAATAAGCTTTATCAAATCATTGGATCAAAATTATAGCCTGTCATTTAAAAAATCATTGATGACGTCATAACTTTTACAAATTTGACCTACAATTTTTCTGACACGTCAAACGATGGAACGTGATTTGAGAGGCTTGACATATTTTTGCATTTTTTTCAAAAACTTTTATAAATTTTGTGCATTACTTTAACATAACCCTTGTAAATAGGTGTATGGGTTGCTGTTTCATGGAAACACCCATTTCGTTTGGAGAGCTAATTATAGCTGCGCTATTCAGGAATATGACTGCAAAAATTCGTTGACCAACTGGATTCTGAGGATTGGCTTCTTCAACATGACGGCGCAACAGCTCAGACAGCACGAACGACATCAAATTTCTTATGGAAATTTTCTGATGACAATTTTATGATCACATCTAGCCACTTCGATCACCAGATTTGACGCCTTTGGATTATTTCGTGTCCCCGGCGTTAAAAAACAACCTGTGCCTACCATCGACGACTAGTTTGAGTAACCTAACTTTAATTTTGAATAACCTAACTTTTTCGAAATGACGCTGGATATTCAAGCAACCCAAAATACACAAGTTCAAGTTACACAACATGTTTCACTGCTGACGTAAGCCTCATGGGTAACTAGAGCAGAAATTTAAAAAATCACCCTGTATTGTATTGTAGTAAGTAACGTATTACTTTATTTTTTTTTAAAGCGGACTTTTTAGAACATTATGAAAAATATTTTTGTGAACTAAATGCATGATATTGACGATATTGACGATAATGTATCGATCTTTCCAAATTCTTAATAATAACAGTCAGACGTTGTTAAAATCTCAAAATAATAAATTTCTGTAAAAACTTGTCAAAAACAATATTAACACCATAATATCTCATTCATTATGGTATACATATTTAGTTTCACATACCAATGAAAAGTGAAGGGGTTGTTGCTATAGTTGCGAAAATGTAGGATCTACTGGTGCTTTACCCTGAAAGTAAAAATTAATATTATAAAATGTTTACAAAACAGTAGTGATTTCTACAACAGCTCACTGAGATGTCATACTTCTAGTACACAAATTAATAGTCGTAAATCATTAAAATTAGTTTCCTAGAAGTATGTACAAATTCGAAACCATAAAATTAAATAATTAAAAAATGTAAAGTTTAATTAATATCATAGAAATCATTGACGTTACCGTACTTTTACGAGTTACCATTACCGCTTATGTTTACATGAGGAGGTTTGTGACTACTTGGATAATATTAACTTTTTTTGTCGTTTTCAAAGCACTTAGTTTAATAAAACTGACATTAAATCTAAAAAAATATTCTTCTACTTCAGCATAACTTTCGGCTACTGTTGATGACTTCCAGCGACCATGTCTTTTTATTTAGACCAATTCCGTACCGGTGACAGCTAACATTGTCGCCGAAGTCCTGCGGAAACAACGGTCCGTTATTTAATCGCTTCTTTGTTATCAAAGAGCAAAACACTCACGCAATAGTTATTTAAATGACAAGTATTGATGCTATTAAATGTTATTTTTTGCTTCAGTCGCAGCCGCAAGTTTTTTTTATGTTAATTTGAATTTTGTCACTCTATTTCTGGGAGAAAAAACATCAAATTTGAAGGATCTATTCATTTGTTAGGGTTAATATGGTACCTATTGAACAAACATATGGCCGTGAAACTCTATGCATTACTCAAGTATTATTTTCACGATTATATATTTTACTTTTCAAGTAGTATATATAGAATGTTCAAAAAATGGGGCACCAACCCAACGATACATGATAAATTCACACGTCTAAGTTCGAGAAAAATTACAAAAAATTTTTTTCCGTCAATTTGACATTCACTTACAAAAACAAAACGTCAATTTAGACAGATCGGTCAGAAAACATGAGAATTTAGCCACTGTCGTCAGATTCATCCTGAACAATTTTTAAGTTTTTTGTGATGTTACGAAATGAAGAAATCAATAGAGAAAAATAAGATGACTCTAAAATTATTTTGAATAATGAAAGTCCAATCGATTGCAGATACCCATCACAATATAGTGAATTGAAATTTGGTCAAATTTGGAAAAAAAAACAAATTATTATTATTACTATTATTGAATAATAATAATGCATTTATTCCCAACGGTTAAGCACCCAATTACATGAAATGACAAGACAAAAGAAATGTACCAGGTGTAGACATAACGATACATACTTAAAGTGAAATAAAAATGAAGTGAACAATAGGCGAACAATATTAATTAAAAATTTCTAAAAATTACCTGACCACTAATTTATTTTAACAATTCTCAAAGTAACGAAGTATAACATCCAAAATATATATTATTAAACGAGTCGTAGTTGATGTCATATAAACTATTAATTAAATTATAACTACTAGGTACACATGAGTACTACAGGCGATCTGGTTAAGACATTAGTTCTGCATGACATACAGTAAAACGTTAAACAATTTCTATTACTAAATCTAGGAATCCGAGCTACAATTTTACTCAACAAATGAATACACTCGGGTTTGCAGATGAGAAGACTATGTAGGAATTTAGTACTAATAAAAATGAAACGCCTAGTATTGAAGAACGCTATAACTAAATCTGGCCAGCGGAGCGATGTGATCATATCCCTGAGGAGGTTAAACACCGTCGACCAGGAATGAAACAACTTTAAAATACTTCCTGTACTGACTCAACTAAATGTACATAGGTAGAATAAATAGGATACTATATTATAATTTATAACAGTAGCATATTCTAACCCAGAGCATATTAACGAATCATACAAATTAAGTAGTGCTTGTACATTAGTAAAATCGGAATAATTCCTGTAAATGAAACCAAGCATTTTGTAAGCTTTGCTGACAAAATCAAGGATATGATTTCTGAAAGTGAATAATTTATAGGCCAAATCTACGCCTAAATCTTTGAATGAGTCCAGTCTGCTTAAGACCACTCAATCAATTGAATATTTGTAGATGGTAGTTTTTCTTTTCTGGAGTAGCTGACAGCAACGCATTTGTTAATATTTAAGAATGAACGATTTTTTTCGCTCCATTTAGATAATAACTGTAAATTGTCCTGTGGAAGCTGACAGCTTTGTATCGTATTAACTGTCAAAAATAGTTTAAGATCATCAGCGAAGAGCAGTTTTTGGCAAGTCTATAATATCATTCACGTATAGTAAAAAGAAGAATGGCCATAGGTTGGACCCTTGCGGCACACCACAGGTGGGACAAAAGCCGTGAGAAACAAAATTCTCATACTTAACAAAAAGTTTCCTGTCCAGGTAATTGATTCGAATATTTTAGAAAAGTTGCAAAGGATACAAATGAATCGATATTTGTCAGTATGGGCTGGGTCACGCTTTTTGTATACCGGAGTAACACAGGCTTCTTTCCAAATCTGGGGAAAAGACGACGATTTAAGAAGAAGATTAAATAAGCAGTGTAAGGGCATTACGAAAATAGAGGCAGAGTTAACTTTTGGACATTCATTCTGTTCAAGTGTTTTAGTTGATTTGGGGTTGTTTTCCGCCTCTTGAACGTACGAAATGGAACACCGTTGTAATGCCTAATTCTTAGACCATCCTCACCATTATTGCGTCGTTCTTGAAGTTGAGTTTGTAACATCTTTAAATATTGAAGTTCTTTGGATGTTTTGTCAGAAGACATTCTGATTGTCTTATAAATGTTTATGAATTTTATAAATTATTTTTTCTCTGCTTCATCCAGTCCTGAACAACGTGTCGGAGTTGGTGCGCCATTTTTTGAACATTTGTAAATGAGCTTGAATAAAATTATTAATTTTTGAAATGAAGGAAGGTAAACACCACTCTATTACATTATTTGAGGCGATCATCAGCAACGATTTTAATAAATTTCAGATTGAGATATTACTAAAGGAAGACACTCAATTTTTGTCGCTGAGAGAGACTTTGCCCATTCATTAAGTAACAAAATTCAAACCAAATTTTCCACAGTGGTGACATTAATCTATAGGTATTTATAGCATAAAGCTGAAGAGTTTGTTTGGTTGAACGTGCTAATCTCAGAAACTACTGGTTCGATTTCAAAAAATCGTTTTGTGTTGGATAGTTCATTTATCGTATATACATATAGGGTATATAACATCACGCTACGATCAATAGTAGCGAAGTAGCAATGAAAAATTCGGAAAAACGAGAAAATTATTTCTCCTTTGACAGCTTCCGTTGCTTACGCTGCTTACGGTTAAAGTTATGTAAAAATCATTGTTCCCCTCTAAAAGTTCTAAAGAAAAGTCCGCGACAGCATATGTCTATCTTTTAAGGTCGACTCAGTATAACCTCTTTTATGGTAATGAAATTTGTTCTAAAATAATACTGTATAAAGTTCTCGCGTCACAGTGTTTGTAACCGAACTCCTCCGAAACGGGTTGATCGATTTGTATGAAATTTTTTATGTATATTCGGTAGGTCTGAGAATAGGTTGTAAAGGTTCTAAACTATTTTTTATACACCTAAGTGATAAAAATGGCCCACCCTAAAAATTTTTCGTTTATTTTTTTGGACAAAATTTTTTATTTTAATTTTTTTAAGATTTGGCATCAAAAAATACATATAACCCTAAATTTTCACCCTTCTACCACCAATTCCCATTTTTTAATCTTCTATATAATAAAAATCTTGACCGATTTGAATAATTTTTTGTATTACGGGGATGGTTTATAAATAAAAAAATAGGAAAAACTTAAAAGAACAGATAAAAATCTGTCAATGACCTAATCAACATTTACGATCAACACGTATATCACCTTGGATTGGTGCAGTGTACCTAATACTAAAAATAACTGTATTGTATTCCCAAAATTATCTGCGAAAATCGAGTGAGCCGTTCCATCAATTTTTTGGGGGGAATAAATAAATATTCTGATTAACAATTTACCATGCTTACAATAACTTTAAAACGTCTGCAAGATCTCAAAGTATTCATTTCTGCAACTCTTGAGATATTCAATAAAATAAATAGACTGATCCATACATTTTTTTGAGTCACTGTAAAAGCAAATCGAAAAAATATGAATGCATTGATAAATTACGAAAATATACTGATCATATTTTGCACATTTTAGATAGGATTCATTTGGCAAAATTTTGGGCTGACGTCATCAATTTTTTGGAGGGGATAAGTAAATATATTTTGAATAAAATTTATTATGCTTATCATATTGTTTAAAACATCTGCAAGATTTCAAAGCATTCAGTTTGCAGCACTCAAAGTATATACTAATTTTTGGATATATCAAGTACATACACATATTTATTTTATTTATAACACCAATTGACTCTAGTGCTTCTAGTAATTGCCAAGTTTTTTCTAATATGGTTATTAATGTACAACATTAATTATGTGAAATTTTTGATATTTTTAGGTATGCGCATTTACCATATTTATTATTGTCTAACCCCTAACATAACGTTCAAATACTTCTTTCAAAAAAATACTACATTTTTGTTATTTCATTTCGCCACCATAAAAAAGTGTAATATATATACGTAACTCGTTTTATAAATTCATCTCTTGCGCGTTCCACTTTGTGCCGACAGCGTACAAAGCCCATAAGCAATGCATTTTCTACGAGAGAATTCACGACGGTGTTGTCAGTTATCAAAAATGTGCTAACTTTCCGAAAGAAATTGCTATATGAATCTCTACAAGTTCTATCAATTTTTTTGGCATTCCTTAACTACATATTACTGTTAATTAAATTCAATTTTTGTGTATCCATATTTTGCTAAAATCACATTTTTTCTTGAATTTTCACATTTTTATATTGCATTTAACATTTATTGTATTTGAAATCTCTTTCCTCGTTACCTGCACAAAACGTGTATTGAAATTTTCACTAAACAATTTTTCGTTACATCATTTTTTTGGAAGATAAAATAATACATGACCATCAAAATAAATATGTATATAATTTTGCAT